CAGAGGCTAACACCCGTTACGAGGGAGTTCGCAATTCAGCACGAGAAAGAAATAGCTACGTTGCAAAGAACCTCGAGAAGGCCCAGCACAAGGTGACAGAACAAGCCAATAAGCACCTGAGCCCGTCACAGTTCCAAGTAGGCAACTTAGTCTGGGTCAAGTCAAAAGAGTTTGCTCCTGAGGAAAACATCTCGCAGAAGTTACTGCCTGCATACCGAGGACCGTGGCCAGTCTTAGACGTTAAGGGCGAAGAGAAAGGGACTGTCCTACAGAGTCGAAATTCCAGCACACCTCCACACCTACCCAGTTTTTCATGCGTCAAAGTTGTTGCCTTGTACCACAGGTCGACAGTTTCCGACACGGAGGTCCATGATCCCTCCGGACAGGGATGGGAGGTACGACATTGACCGCATACGAGGTGAAGATGTATTTAGAACAGGAGGTAGAGGTTGTCCACAGAAACAGTATAAAGTCAGATTCTCTTTTCAGGAACCAGAAGACGACCGCTGGTTAATACGAACAGAGCTTCTTGAGACCACTCCCGATATAGTTCGAGCCTGTGAGAGAGATAAGAAAGGTAAAGGTTCAGCCTTGAGTATTCTCGAAGGACCTCGAATTTAGGCCGGCGGGAGTGAAACGGTTTTAACCTTTGCAGTAACAGATGCAGATCCCAGGGCTCGATACCTAGACCTTACCTCACCCATGTACAGTACTAGGTAGACCCTTGTGTGTTTTGAACCCATGACCTGTGTTTTAGTAGCCGACTGCTGTCTATCGTAGGTCTGTGTAGCTGTCGGGTCTTGAACTGTAGGTCTGTCGAATAGAGGTCACCACTGTGTAGGGGTCATAGTTGTTGCAACTCTGAAAGGTCAAGGTCGTAGCTGCTACAGTCCTGAAAGGTCAAGGTCGTAGCTGCTACAGTCCCGAAAGGCCAAGTCCACAGACTTCTGGAAGGTCCGGAACTGGCCTTTCAAGTGTTGCTCACGTTAGACCAGAGGCAAGTGGGCAAGTGCGTAGCCCAACTTTGCTTAGTCAGCAGTACCCAGTCCCAGTCTCACTTTGTCCAGTCAGCACGTACCATGTGGGACTGTGTGCACCATGGACCCGGTGGAAAGGGGCAGACCAGCGACCAACAGAAGTATAAATCAAGAGGCAGCGTCCAGCCATTCATTCATTTCTGCGTGAGCCATGCGGAAGTGCTGCCCAAGCATTTTGTGCAAAGTGGTCTGCAGATGCCCGTAGTCGAAGTGGGCTGCACGGAAGACAGAGCAGCCATTGCTGCTTGTAGGGAGTGTAGCCCGCGGCCATAGCTGCCATAGCTAGCGTTACATAGTAGTGAGGGTGTGTGTGTGTGGTACAGAGTGCATGTGCGTGGGATATCCAGGGAGATCTTGAGTTGAGTGTGTGTGAACAGTCGTCGTGAATACAGATCAGGGAAGTGTAGGCGCGCAGGCGCCATAGCCAATGTGAAGCAAGTTCGTATCTGAACCGTGTTCTCGGCTGTAATATCTCTGAGCTTTGTGTGGGCACCTGGCGCCAGTGTGGATTTCAATCTGTTTGCATGCATGCTGAACGAAGACGAAGGCGAGTCTGATTGCAAAGTTCCAGATAGTGAACCTAATTACCACACCACGAGCAAGTTACTATTTGAGAAGACTGATGTCATAGACAGACTGTGCCATTGATTTCATGGATGCCGGGGTAAGGAGTAGGCATGCCAAGAGCCAAGTCGTGGTTATCATAGATCGTTTTAGCAAGTATGCAGTTTTTGTTCCTTTGCCTTCAGAGGCACGCACATAGTTAGTAATAGAAACGTTTTTCGATTCCTGGGTAAGTGAACATGGTATTCCGCTATCTATAGTTAGTGATAGAGACACACGGTTTACCAGTCAGAACTGGCAGGAACTGATGAGAGTCTATGGTTCTAAGTTGTCAATGTCATCTGGCCGTCATCCAGAGACTAAAGATCGGACTGAACACATGAATAAGATCCTGCAGCAAATACTCATGATCTATATTAGACCAGACCAGACAACCTGGGATGAGATGCTTCCCAAAGTAGCTAGCGCCTACAATAACAGTGTCCATATAGCTACTTGCCGAACTCCAAATGAGCTGGATAAATCCTTTAGACCACGTAGGCTCTTAAAAGGACTGAATCCAGAGCAAGTCCATAGACTACCAACCGAAACTAGAGAGTTTGCATAGCGCCCTGAAAACGAAATTGCGACAGTGACCGACAATTTGAGGAGGGCTCAACACAAGATGATAGAACAAGATAATAAGCATCGTCGGCCATCACAGTTCCAGCCTCCAGGTAGGTGATTTAGTCTGGGTGAATTCAAAGGAGTTCGCCCTAGAAGAGAACATCTCACAAAAGCTGTTACCCACGTATAGGGGACCGTGGCCTGTTCTAGAAGTCAAAGGTGGACAGGACGGACCTTCGTACACGATAGAGGCCCTAGACTCAAATTGTTGGACTGGTACCCGCCTAGACCTAGCCTACATCTACTTGGCCTTTAAAATTGCCAACTTTTGTCTTCTACTCGGTCTCGAGTACCAGGCACATCTACCTCCTCTTGGTGTGGTACCGGCCTACCTGCTACTTGAGTGTTTTCGGCTGCTCTAAGTGTCGCGGGCCTCTTTCCCCGCCACTTGAGTGTTTTCCCCGCTGCAGCCCTCAATGTCATGGCCACAGGTAAGTACCCGCCCTTTGGGCCTTCCGAACAACCAAGTGCCCTTGCGGGTCACATACACACTCAAGCCGACAAGCACTCAGACAGGCATGCAGACTGGCAGGCATGCACCCACACAGACTTAGAAAACTCAGCAACAACCGGGAAACTCAGTAAGGCATACATTCCATGAGCAAAACTCAGAAATCAGTTGTGTGTCTCAGTCTGTGTTTGGCAGGTCATTACAAAAGTAGCAATCTGCACGGTAAGATTCCAAAAGCTGCCAGTCAGTTGAGATCTTTGTACTGGTGAGAGCACTGACCTTGCAGCCAGACACATCCATGTCACACCTAAGCCATCAATTCAGACAAATACATTTCCAATCTTGGTCTCCTCCAGTCCACCCAGTCAAGAACTGGAGCATTCACCGAGGCCTCCAGATGAATTGAGGAAGAAATCTCCACAGAAATGGAATGAAAATAATAAGTGTTACGATCCTGGCCAATTTCGAAGTATATATTCATCAGAAAGTACAATGCCATCCAATTGCAAAAGGAAATGAACGAACTTGAGAGGAGAGAGAGGGAGAAGAAGAAGAAGTAAGAAAGAAGAAGAAGATGATGTACGACAGCATAGACCAATGACAAGACTCTTCTTCTTCGCCGACCAATCTCCTCCTCCTTATCTCCTCCCCTCTTATTCAAACAAGAAATAACAATAATAACGTTGAATGGCTGAACCAGAACCAATGTCTGAATCCCACTTCTACTGCAGGCACAACATCAGGTCCGCCATAGCCATGGCCACCCTTCCTCTTCCTCTTCTATAGGCCAAGGCTATGGCAGAGCACTGACGGCTCTACCCTCCTGTCCAAAGGACAACCCAAAGCAGGTATGTCGCTGCTCTCTTGTCCCAAGGTCAACAACAGGCAGTTATGCCGCTGCCAACTCAACCGCTATGCCTGACTCTGTCCCGAGCTTCCTTGATGCGGCACTACCCCAACTAGGGCCTTCCAGATGCAGCGCCTAACAAGGCGATGAAGATGGTGTCCACCATAGCCAGGTAGGTACCTCGCCACTCTCCTCCTTGGTGCCCTTCTCCCTCCTCCTACCGGTAGAGCTCCACCATAGCCAACGTGGAAGCTCCCGGTTTCTTCCTCCCAGCAGCGCTGAATCAACCAGCGCTCTTCTAACCAGTGCTCCAGCAGCGTGACACCCAACTCGCACCCTGAATAATGAGGCCGAGTTCTTCCCTTGGCCTCTTGATATAGCGGCCTGCTTGCCTCCTGGCCGCTCGGCCTCCCAAGCAACCCGTACCTCCTCCCTTTCGGAGGGAAACATCATTGCAGACTCTGATATTGCCCGTACAGGCTCTAGACTCAGACTGGATGGACTGGTACCGGCCTGGACCCAGCCTATCGCTACTGGGCCTCTAAAAATGCCAACTTTGTCTTCTTCTGCTCAGCCTCGAGTACTGGGCACATCTACTGCTACCGGGTCCGGTACCGGCCTGATTTTCCGCTGCTCTAAGCACCGCGGGCCCCTGGCTCCGCTGTTTTCCCTGCTGCAACCCTCAATGCCACGGCCACAGGTAAGTACCTGCCCTACGGGCCTGCCAAACAAGGAAGTACCCTTGCGGGTCACACACACACTCATACCGACAAGCACTCAGACAGGCACGCAGGTCAACAAGCACGCACATATACAGACTTAGAAAACTCAGCAGAATGCGGGAATCTCAGCAAGGCATCCATTCCATCAGCAGAAGTTCAGAAATCAGCAGTGTTCTCAGTCTGTGTTATGGCAGGTCATTACATAAGTCACTTCTTAGACAGTTTTGCTAAAATCATTCCGCACACAGCCACTGAAAACCAATAAATGAGTAACAATGAGACATTTCCCCAAGCCTTCGCCAGGGAAAGGCAGAAACAGAGGAACTTATGTGACCGAAGTACCAAGAGCACTTCAGGCAGTATCAAATGAGGGAGTATTCCATCAGAGTCTTGTCGTCATTTGCGGTGATACATATTGGAAGTCCTGGTATGACAATTCCCTAACTGGAGCTGCAAAATCAAACAGACATACTTCGATCTGTACATCGAGTATAAACTAAAATAACAAGGTCATCATAATACAAGATAAACGTTGAGATGTGTTTTAACTAATTAGGTTTCTGTAAAATAATTGAAACAAGCAACGAAAAAGACTGCACAGGGATCTTCTCAAATGGATACGGCAGTGATTGGAGACGGCTGGATTTCAGAGAGTCCTTCATTCAATTTAAGTGCAATACGCTGTTGCACAATTTTGAGAGACCTGGACTAACCTGTGTCATACCAGAGGTCTTTTGCACTGCCTCCCCCGAAAACAAAGATTTTCCTGTCCAGCACACTTGCTGCTGCATATGATCGAGGATCACCCATCGGCGCAACGTTCCTCCATTTCCGCAAAAGTGGATTGAACACTTCGACAGAAGCCAGCCAGTTATGGTCATGGAAGCCACCCATCAGGTATATATCCCCAGCAACGTCAGAGAGTGACGTCTTCTCTACCAATGCCTCTCTGTTAGAATCCCAATGTCCAACCATCTCATTCGCATCCCGCTCCTCAGTAACATCCCTTGCGACCATTACCTGCAATGACACAGCTCCTTCCCTCCCAGCTTCTGCAAACTGTATAATTTTGAGCTTTTGCCGAAGGTCCTGCACCTCGTCCCTGAGGGTCTGGACTTCATCTTGAAAAGACCGCTGTCACACATACATCATTCATGATATGCAAATCTATGATGAGAGACATATGTACAGCTGGTGTCATAAAAAAACATCTGTGCACTGGACAGTCTTGGAGCCGCTGTCAAAAATACTATGCCTCATCCCCTCATGTGTTGTTTCCAGCTACAGAAAAAAAATGACACACGACTTTTGGAATATAATATGCTCAGTGTTTTTCAGAAAAAAGAATAAAATAATGACCCACGAGATAAGGCCGCTGCGCCCGGAATCTCTCCCAGTGGAGGCTGACACCAATTGACTTGGGCAAGGCATTGCAATACATAAGCAAAGGACTGTCTCGAAAATCCCTCAAACTGACCGAGCGATGAAAGAAAGGGAGAGCATTGAGAGAAATTATTGGAGTGGCTGAATACGAATGCAACACCAACCCAGAATCTGAAATGTACTGGCTCCCCACTCACACAAGCCAGGAATGAATTAGCCAAATAGGTCAAGTGGAGGCTCAGGGGTCTCTATCTCATGGGAACCGGCAGGTGAATGAGCGAGTCCATTTTTTTTTCCCAAAGCATTCCAATTCCCAAACAAAGTTAATGTAAAGTTTAGAGCTTCGTGATGGTCGAAGATCCTCCAAGCACTGGATACACCAGGTATGAGATTTCTCAAAGGAACAGCCTCCATCAGGTGAAGTTATGCAATCCAGGCAAGCTTCCCTCCAGACAGAGCACTATCAAAGGACCTACCCGACCAACTGCTCCACACCATCACCAATGGAAGAACTGCTTGTGGCCCTCCAAACAAGGAGTTGAACTGGCTGCATATGAATTGCAATGAACCCATTCATATGAGAAGCTCATCAATGTCGAGACACAAGTTGTCATAGCGCAGAATCAAAGTCTCCAAAAATCGTTTGTGAAACCATACTCATTGTACATGTGGCATCCCAATACAGAGAGAAAGATGAGGAGAGAGGGAGAAGAGACTTCAGAGGGTGAGAGAGAGAGTTTCCAAACTCATCATAGAGTAGAGACCCCTTGCTGGCCCACTCCTGCTTCGGGCGTTATCTCCCAACTCTCCACATCAGCAATCGGTTCCTCCCTGACAATCTCTGACAAATAAGCAGGTTACAGCAGGGCGCCCATCCTCCAGCCACGTCAGCAGTGGCCAAGAAGGATGGCGCAGCTCCTTCCTCTTGCAATCAGACTCGCTTTCTTTTCCACTTCGCACTCATGCAAACAGATGGTGAGTCACACTGGCGCACAGCGCCCACTCAAAGCTCAGAGATATGGAAGTCGAAAACACAGTTTGGATACAAGCTCGCTTTAACAGGCTATGGCGCATCAGCGCCTGTACATCCCAACTCTCGCCTCTCTGTTCAGCACCACTGTTCGCACTCACTCAACTCCGGATCACCCTGGATATCCCACACACACACACACACTACTACTACTAACACACTCGTCTATCAGCTATGGCGGCTATGGCCGCTGTCCCTCACTAGCTATGGCTAACTATCCCTTCAGCCGACTTCGTCTTCGAGCACTCTCCAGACCACCTCGCACAAGTCGCTCAAGCAGCGCTTCCTCATGGCTTACGCAGGAATCAATGAATGGCTGGGCGCTGCCAGGCCCATGGTGCACACAGTCCCTCATGGTACTTGCTGACCGGACTCAGTGAGACCGGGACTGGGTACCGCTGACTCAGCAAGGGTGGACTTCACCACTTGCCCACTTGCCTCTAATCTACTGTGAGCAACGTTGGAAGGGCCACTTCCGGACCTTCCGGGAGTCTGTGGACTTGGCCCTTCAACACTGTAGCAGCTACGACCTTGAACTTTCAGGACTGTAGCAGCTACGAACTTGACCTTTCAGAGGAGCTACAGCTACGGCTTCTAGAACTCCCTAAGACCTCTATCCGACAGGTCTACAGATCGAACCCCTACCACCTATGGACCTACGACAGCCTACCAACTGTTGCGAACACAGAGGTCATGGGTTCAACTCTCGGGGTCGACACAGGTACTATACCCAGGTAAGGTAAGAACTAGGGATCGAGCCTTGGGATCTGCATTCGCTACTGCTAACAGGTGAATACCGTTTCACTCTGAAGACAATCAGCAAAGCACAGTGTCGACATGATCAACCAGGTACGCTTCCCTTCAACTATCGAACCAATCTCACAGCTCTGATCCTCCTCCTCCTCGCAAACATTCCATCAATGTCGGAATCAGTGTGGCCGCAGCCACATCAGCATAATCACAAACAGGGCTGGTCCCGCAGACAGAGAATGGCCCCATCATCAAGCTCCACCAGTCTCATGTTGTCGCACCAGAGTCAAGCCAGCGTCCAGCAGCACGCACAAGACTGAATGATCACTCGCAGGGGCTGGTTCAACTTATAATGTTGACTCAGGTTGACCGGCCTCTGGTCTTCCGGGTGCGACCGCCCAGATCGGTTGTCAGCCAATGGCCTGGATTGCGTACAGTTGCAGATTGAGACAACCAAAGATGTGTATCTGATCTACAATAGAGGCTGGCAACGGGTTGACTTTGACTTCTGGGCCTGAATTTCCAACCTGGAATTGACCGTTGACTTTCCCAGGGTCAACTGCCTCACGTAGGGCCTCTGAGGACCACTTTTGACCTCGTCTTCAGTTCCCCACAGCATCAGGCTTTCGGTCAGGCATTTCATGACTTGGGCCGTGACTTTTGAACCCTGTTTCTGGCCTTTGACCAAAAGTGACGGCCCTCCGCCCACGGCTGATGCAGATTTGAGCTGAGTTATTGCAGAATGCAACAACCAATCCAGAATCTGAAACGTAGTGGCTCCCCACTCACTGAAAGGATTCATGCGGCAGACACCCAGTCCCGGTCTAAGGGTCCCCACAAGCCCAGTCCTATGGCAGTCCGGTAGGCTAGGTCGTCGGGTCCAAGGGGGGTCCAAAACGTTGTAGGTAGGTAGGAGTCCGGTACCGACAAGAAAAGTCCAGAAGCATCCGGTCCAGTTCGACAGTCCAAGGTCCAAAATTGCAGCATGTCCCAGGAAAGTCTGGAAAGTACCGGACCGACAAAATGTTTGCAGCAGACAGGCCGCGGCTGACCGGTACCGGTCTGAAGAAGGCCGAGCCAAGCGAAGACAAATCCTAAATTTAGCTGCTACAGTGCAGCGACTCGTCACTTGTTCTGCGAGATGCGGAGGCGCTGATGCTGCTTGTGCGTTACGGCAACTTAGGCACTGTGCGCCTGAAGGAGAAGAGTTGACTTTTACTGCGCCATCTCTCACCATGGATTTTTGGCCCTACCCGCTATATGGGGCCCCCTCCTTCGATTCCTGTTCCCGTTGGGGTTCGCCCAGACTTTCGGCATGCATGTGGTGAGCCATTCCGGCAGGTCAACGCAACCCCACTCCTCTGCGGAACAGGCCGAATTGATAGGAAATTGATCGAGAAGAGGAAGGAGAGGGAGGAGAAGAAAGAGGAGAAAAGGAAAAGGAAAGAAGAAGAGAAGGAGAGACTGGAGAAGGAGAGGAAAGAGTTGGAAGAGAGGTTAAAGATACTGGAAAAGCAAAAACAAGAGGTGGACGTGGTAGAAGAAGAAGAACAGGAGGAAGAAGAACCAGACGAAGGCAGGCTGGAGGATCATACACAGAGAACAGGAGGACCAAAAACAAAAAAAAATGAAAAAGGTCGAAATCTGAAAAGAAAACAAACGAAAATAGAAGTGAGCGCGCTCTGGGGAGAGAGAGAGAGAGAGAGAGAGAGACTCGCTGAAATGCAGGCGGACCCGCAACGAACTCGCCGTGGTGCTCTCTCTCTCTGTTGCTCTCGCTCTCACGTGCGCGTACGCTGTCTACCCGTGCGGAGTTTCTTCGAAAGTTCGAATGAATCTTTCCCATTGGTTGTGAAAGATTCTTTCTCACTCTCCAAGAATCTATGTGCAGGCCTAGCGCGCGCCGCGAGAGAGAGAGAGAGACCTGCCGAAATGCACGCGGGCCCGCGGTGAACTCCTCATGGTGCTCTCTCTCTCTCTCTCTCTCACGTGCGCACGCTGTCTACCCGTGCGGGGTTTCTTCGAAAGTTCGAATGAATCTTTCCCATTGGTTGTGAAAGATTCATTCTCACTCTCCAAGAAACTCCGTGCGGGCCTACATCGCGCGCGCGGGAGAGAGAGAGAGAGAAGAGACCCGCCGAAATGCACGCGGGCCAGCGGCAAACTCGCCGTGGTGCTCTCTCTCTCTCTCTCTCTCTCTCTCTCTCTCTCTCTTCCCTCCTGTGCGCGATATCGAAATGATTTTTTTTTCTCTTTTTTGTTTTTATTTACTTTCCATAATGATTTTTTTTTCTCTTTTTTTTTCCCACTTGGCCTACCGGTAGCCCGAGGCTCGGCAAGGTTCAGTATACCGGTCGGCTGAGCCACGAGCCTTGACAACCGATAGGTACTGGTGGTTTAAGGGCACCTCGAATAACTATCCGAGTGTCGCCGCCCAAGGAATAGATCAACGTGTCGAGGGGAATGCCCAGCAAGGTATAATTACCACGAAATTGATAGACATTGTCGCCACCCTGAAAGCAGGAAGTGGTAGTGGAGGTGGAGATGGTCGACGAGACGACGATGGAGATCCCAAGGAGGAGGGGGACACAAGGGTCGATCCTAGTCAATCTGACGGGGGCGAGAGAAGGGAGAAGATAAAGGTCAAGCTTTCATGGACATACGCAAGGAAGAGGGAAGAGAATTTCTTTCAGTAGGAAGCACACATGGGCACTTACCTATACACCTGATTCCGTATTGGGATCGTGTTCTGATGGCGAGTTCGTGTCTTGGTGGACATGCCGCCAAGAATAAGACCATTGCAGGCAGCATAGAGGGAATAGATAGCCTTCCAGTCACGTTTGAGGGAAGAGTCGAGACACTGCCCTATGAGAACATACACTACGGACTACAAGAGCCCAACAACAACCAAGTAGCCCAGGGAGGGGACTACGAGGCTGTTGCAGCCCGCAGGGGAGGACAACAAGGAGGAAGAGGAGGCCGAGGCAGAGGTGGAGGACGAGGACGCGGCACCTAGGGGAGTAGCAACGAAGAAAGCTACTACGTGGGAGGTAGGGGTTATGGTTCCTTGCAAGGTGGACATGGATCCTACTCCACAGACGGAAGGGGTAGAGGGAACACAGCGTGGCCAACACATCCAGGGATCGACGATGACGAACCTTGGAAGGAAATGGGCATACAAAAGTCGTTGTGGGAGAAGAGGTTGAAGGTGGATCAATGCCTCACATGTGGTGATCCCAACCACATTGTCTGTTTCTGCCCCGATTACCGCCACCCAAAAGGGAACGGCCAGTAGGAGTACCAGTCACTCCTACCGGGCCTTCAAACATAGACAAATCGTGGCCAGCACATCCAGGGATTGCTGATGGCGAACCTTGGAAGGAAATGGGCATACAAAAGTCGTTGTGGGAGAAGAGGCTGAAGATGGATCAATGACTCAAATGTGGTGATCCCAACTACATCGTTTGTTTCTGCCCCGATTATGGCCACCTGAAAGGAAACAGCCAGTAGGAGTAGCAGTCGCTCCTACCGAGCCTTCAAACATAGACAGACAGACAGAAGCGCGCACAGGTCAGGCACGCTCCTGCGCGAAGGCCCCAATGGTAAAGACTGATGTAGTAGGCCCTCACCCAGTACGCTATCCATAGACCTCTTGTGCTAGGGTCTCTCCGGGTGATTCCCTCGCAGGCATAGGCGATGAGCTGATCACTAGTAGCCAAGCTTGGGCCGAAATGAAGAAGAAGACTAAAGGGCAACTTATATTAGCAAATGTAGAGATTAGCAGAGAGCGAGTAGGCGCGTTAGTCAATAGTGGGTCAATGTGAAGTTACATAAGCCGAAGGGGATAGAAGGAGATGTACCTCAACATGAAGGTTCAGAAGTTGGACGAGCCAGTAGTGAGCAGGCTCCCAGTCAATCGCGAAATGAGAGTTTGGGATTACGTCGAAGGGGTTAACGCATACTTCCGGTTGGAGGGGGAGAACAAGGTAGAGAGAGTTTTGCACTCCCTGACACTCTTAGTGGAGAGTAACCTACCCTTTGACCTGATTTTAGGTAGCATGAGTTCTGGCTGCCCAACCCTCAAGGGGATAACCTACCCTTTGACCTGATTTTAGGGAGCACGATTGTTGGCTGCCCAACACTCAGAGAGGCAAAGGAAATAGTGGTGGTTCCATAAGTCTGGTGTAAAGTCCAGTCTATCCCTTTGCTGTATGAGTGCTCTTGCATTCGCCAGGCACGTGGTCAAGGTCCATTTGGTCGACCAAGTCTTGCATACGTTAGACCGTGGCTCTCGCAAAAAAATATAGCGGCTAGGGGTTCGGGCGACGCCGCCTTACCCCAAGGATGCCGCCGGGGCTGCCCAGAGCCGCTAGGCTTAGTGAAAAGGTGCGTGGCCCAATGGATGACGATTGGCCTACACACGATAAGAATATGAGACTTCAATGAACTCCCTAGACTGCCTGCATATTGGAAGGGGCAATTGCCTGGTCAGACCTAAATGAATCAAGAAAGCGCCACGAGTGCCTAAAGAGCTACCATCTTGATGCGAGAGCGGAGCTACATCCCCCAATGTAAATCCCTCTCGCACAAGGCCCATCCCCATCCATCTCGTAGCACTAGGTGGGGGTGCCCCTGGGACGAACGGCCCGCGCCGAAGGCTTGAGCGTGGGCAGCTCGAGCCAAGTGGGACCCGCAGTGGGGTCGACCGAGGCTCGAAAGTCCTTCAGGGTACGGCCCCTACAGCGTAGAACGCTAATACGTTACCTCTCTGTTCATAGCACAGAGTAGTGAATTACTTGAAACACAGTCAGGCCACTGTCCTCTTTCGGTGTACAATAAGTAGAGCACAAATCTTACCCCGAAATTATGCACAATGAATGGTCAAGTATAAAGGTTTGTTGAGGTAAAGGGATGTCCCTGACCGTCTCTACTTAACCAGAAGCCCTTGTTTGTATAACTCTTCGTGTACAATTTGTGCAGCCCACTAGAAGCCATGGGCACCTACCCGGTTAGATCTCATCCGAGATATTACTCAGAAAGACTTTCCTAAAGATCTCCTGCACAACGCCTGTCAGTGCATCGAGTAGCCTTGATCAGTACGCTCGACCCTTAGTGCAGGTCCCTAAGAGTAATGCTCCGGTTATAGTCCTTTCATTCGGATGGTAAAATCCTAGTACAGGACTCGTCTCGGTACATTATGTCATTTTACAACTTAGAACTTAGCCTCGTTTATAAAGACTAATCCAATCACTAACCAAGCCAACACCGAGAATCACGTTTCCGAGAGTTCAAACATGTTCAAACTCGACTTGATGGATCTTCGAGTCGTGATTGACGTCGACACTTTAAGCATATACCTCACCTTTGCTCAAGGCATAGATTACTAGCTCAAGGTACAACTCGTGGTAGCTTCCACACCGGCACAACAATGGGGTATTGAAATCCATGTGAAACATAGTGTAACTGACAGAAGTCTCCATTCATCTACCATATGCATTTCTACAAATGTACAGCTAGGGGTACCGAAGACGACTCCGTGTTGGTAGCGAGTAGGCTCAGTCAGTAGCGCACACCACTCGGATGACATACAAACTACTACCAACATCTGGTGTCATTTAAATTAGCCAAGGACTGGGCCCCATTCATACTCTGTACAGAGTGCAGCTTGGCACTGCTGGAGTCCCTAATCAAGGAGCCAGCATGGGCGATATGCAGAGTGGCTTCAAACCACTAGTACACGGCCTCAACCTTACAACAAAATAACTTGTCGCCACAAGAAGTAAAAGGCACACTCGGGGCAGGGTCAGAGCGTCAAAAGGATTTCGGATTTTTGGGCCCATCTCAAATCCGTACGTCCCAAAAAACAAAACAAGCTTTGGTCGTGATTGCAGTTGGATACACTTTTTGGAGTACTCGTGCGAGTTTGTCCTCAGTAAGGGCACTTCAGCAGAATGGAGAACACAGGGAGCAGGACTATCAGACTCTCAGGAAAAAAAAAAAAAAAAAAAAGGCTTTGGTCATGATTGCAGTTGGATACACTTTTTGGAGTACTCGTGCGAGTTTGCCCTCAGTGAGGGCACTTCAGCAGAACGTAGAACACGGGGAGCATGACTATCGGACTCTCAAATAAAGAAAACGAAAAAAAGCCAACAACGCTTTCGTCGTGAAAGTGGTTGGATGCATTTTAACATCGCAAGTGTGAGTATGCCCTCAGCGAGCGCGTTTTGAACAAGAGGAATATGCGTTGCCTTGCTGACAGGGCCAGGAAGAAAAAAAACAAAACGAGAAAAAGAGGAAAAACAACAACGTTTCCCTCTCCCCGTTGTCATGCGCGGCGGTCCCGCACCCCGATGGGAGCGCTGAACCTCACAGTCGTGTCACGCAGGATTTATTTTCGAAGAATCAACAAGTCACGACAGGCCGGGTCGGCCCGAGGTACAACTTACCTCTACCCAAGGGGCTGTCACCACCCTCAGGTAGGAGTATCCCTGTTGAGCTACCGGCCCACATGCGAAGGCTTTTACATGCCTGTGTAGAGGTAGGTCGGCCGACGGCGTTTGCTCCATCGCTGTAGCATAATATGGGGTACTCGCGGTAAGACGCCTAGGACTGACCCGTTAGATATTCAGGTCGAACTTTGAGATGGTCGTCTATTTCCGCTTTTGTTCCCAAAACACTTTCTCCTTCTGACCTCTATGATCAACGTATCAAAACAAAACCTTGTCACTACCAGAGATATTCTATCTTACTCAACGTATGACTGATCATCAGATAACATAAAAGTTAAATAAGACTTGATAATGAATATGGAAAACTATGCACGAGACAAACCTGCACAACATAATGCAAAAACAGTTGACATGCCATGCACTAACAACGTCAACCATCAACCATTGGCATTGTCCCTCACTCCCCAAACCATGTATGACAACTCTATCTTGTCTGAGATGCAAGCCCAGCCCCCTCACATTTATTCAAAGGACCCTTGAGAGTGAACAGGACCATTTAGGCAATGACCACATGTGACAATTTTACTGACCACAGGGTTTGACTTTAGATGTGGGTATAAAGTCAAAGGAGGAAAAGTTGAATCGGCAACGACCGACCTGTTATCGAGTAATAATAAAAAATTTGAGTCCTCTTCGTAGGACTTCTCCTTCAATTGCAGTAAATCAAAAACAGGGACCTGCACACACACAGGTCAGCAAAGATTCAACACCCTTAGATCTGGCCTGTGAGCTTTTTCGGATCAACATCCCAAAGTTTAACCCCTACTTTCTATCTACCCTAAGTCGTTTGTCACCCATTCTCTTTTTGTTTCAAGGAGTCTCTTTGACATGTCCTGAATTGTCTCAGGAAAACTCATATTTCCCCTACTCACAGTCCTTGCATTTTCTCTTTTGTGGATAAGCACACCCTCTGGTGCTTATGCGGTAGTCTGGCCGAGATCAACTCAAGCCAGTGGCGGTTTCTCCAATGAACTGTGGCTCCACGGGTTGTCTTCTTTCTCTAATTCCTTTTCCCCGCGGTATTCGCCTTCTTTTACGTTCCCTTTTAAAGAACCTTTGGAGTCGCTCCCGTTGGAACACTCCCTTTTTCCCTTTTTCTTCTTCTTGTCCTGACATATACAAGTAGTGGGTTGACTCACCCGGGAATCTTCCACTACTTGATCAATTCCAGACAGTCGATTAGTCAAAGAAGTCGTCGAGTACCCCCACGGGAGCACTCAACCATTCTTCAAAGTCCATCCAGTCCTCATGCAACCAAGCAGTTCAAAAAATCTAGTGCAAGCGACATGATAACTTACCTGGGAGTATCCTTATATTAGTTAAGCAAGTAGTTAGCAGGTCCTGGTCGAACCATCTCGACGCTTGATCCAATATTCAGGAAACGTTCCAGCTCCTAGTGTCAATTCAAGATTAAAATTAGTAATAGGCGGTCTTCACGGAAGCCTCCTATTATTTCCTTGATCAGAGTTCAGTCTTTCCCTCAAAAGTGTAATAGGACGACCCTACGGGAGCCTTGGTCAGACAGGCCAGGATTATGTTACTGGACTCGAGCAAACACCAGATCCTCCCTTTGCTGGAGCATCTTGTTAGACCCGTTAAGATTGAGTTAAGTAAGCAACAGGATGACCCCACGGGAGCCTCCCATTTCCTACTTCAATGTTGAATCAATAGATTTATATCGTTTATAAGTCCTACCTGAACAAGTAGCAGGGCTACTCACCCGGGAGTATCCCTCTACTGTCCAAAACACAATCTCCTCATCCCTACCCCCCGTTAGTCGATCCCCAAATCAAACAAGTATTAGGATAACCCTCCCGGGAGCCTTCCTACTACCAGTTTGATCCGTAGGAGATCAATCAAAACAACCCTAGGTTGAGTTGCCCTGACAGTTCACCTCACTGTCCTATGCATCCTAACTCAACAAAAGGTATGCATCCTAACTGAACAAAAGGTATGTTGACTCCCACGGGAAGTCGGACAGATCAATCCAAACTTAGGGGTTCGAGTACTCACCCTGGAGTACTCAATTCCTTTCCCAGTTTGGTTCGATCGGTGATAGGAGAACCCCACGGGAGCCTCCTGCTACCTTTTGCCTTTGTGAGTCGTGGAAGACACGTACCCCACGAGAGTACCGGATTAACTTTGCTTTTGTCAGGTCTCTGAAGTCATGTACCCCACCGGGAGTACCGGATTAGTTTTGCTTTTGTCAAATGTCTGAAGTCATGTACCCCACGGGAGTACCGGATCACTTGGCTTTTGTTAATGATTGAAGAAGTATACCCCACGGGAGTACCGGATCACTTCGCTTTTGTTAATGATTGAAGAAGTGTACCCCACGAGAGTACCGAATCACTTGGTTTTTGTTAATGATTGAAGAAGTGTACCCCACGGGAGTACCGGATCACTTGCTAGACCTAGCCTGTAAGGTAATGAGCGAACTGCACGGCAGCCTCCCGTCACAAGCGCCGAAATCAGCACACATTGCATCAATTTGTTACTTTAGCCGGACGAACGGCAGGGTAACTTCGCACGGCGAGCACCTCATCATCCAGTTTAGTTATCTCATACAAGCAGTGTGACGAACCTACGAGGGCCTCCATCACACGGCTTTATGTTTCAAAACCAAGCAGACTAGGTTCCTTTTTGGTTCTTCCCAGGTTCCTTCCTTTCATCAGGCAGAATTTTTACTTCAATCATATAGTTCTTTCCCTTTTGATACGCTTAATCCTGAAAAAAACCCACCCATACAGGCAATCCAGTAGAAGGGTGTAACTTGTATGGGTATACGGGAACGGAATGAAACATGCGTACCTTATGGTTCCCTGCCTCCAGAGTTCCTCCTAAACTCCGTCAGAGCTCCCGCAATCGCCCTATTGTCGATCGTGTCAAGTCTATGCAATTGACTGATTATCTCAGTGTAAATCATTATCAAACACTTATAGTTGAAGAGGTAGGCGTATGAGAGGACCAATCAAGGACAAGAATGAAGGAGGATGGACGAGGTTGGCACCGTCACACGGTGACAGTGTCCCTCTCCTCTCCAGTGCCCCGCACTCTTTTCCTCTCTGACCCCTGCTTTTCTCATGATGTTGCAACAATGAGACAACAACTAATAATAGCAATAATGATAATAATAATAGTAATAATAATAGATCATAATAACAATAACAATAATAGCAATGATAATAAGAACGTCAGAGAACCATTAATAGCGAGATAACATTCCAGTTTGCAACACCACGTTGAATGCCAAGGAGCCTGATACTGTCGAAACTGTATAAGTACTACATCAACTGAGGACCAAAGTATTGAATCTGGATGCTAGTAAGCATACACTTGACTCCGCCGGCCTACGTATCAGAGCCCTCTCTACTTAGGCAATCAGCACCTAGGTTACAAGTACCCTATAAATCGATAATGCATTCACCTGACGTCAGCAACAGAACCGAAGCACATTAAGATATCAGACTGTCGTCGAGGCCAAGTAGGTGCTTTTGCATCATCATCCTCATCTCTCTCCTTCTGGCTCTCTCTCTTTTTGAGAATCTTTGACTTTGAATACATTCCACTGCTACTCAGGTCTATACCTATTACTAACTTTGCTGTTGTGACCTCTCTTTGACTTTTGAATACATTCCACTGCTACTCAGGTCTATCCCTATTACTAACTTTGTTGTTGTGACCTCCCTCATCCTCAGCACAACGCTGCCTAGTACACTCTCGCGCGAAAGCTACTGGCAGATAACGCACACGTGCTTCGGCGACACTTCCAGGCTTCTCACGAATGAGCAGTTTCTCCCTGAATTGTGGCTGGCCAATCCCTATATTGACTTGGACTGAGTCACACCTCGTTTCAGTCAATGCATCCCTTGGCTTGACCCGGACTTGGTACCGCATGCCTACGGCCTGCCTGCTTCAGACTGTCATGGTCGGATCTTTGCAGTAGTGCTGCTGCTCGAGTCCGTGAGTCACGGTTTTTCAT